ACGTGCACAGCAACATTATAAGACTATTCTTCTACTGCTAGAACCAATTCGAACATCATAATAAATTGCAGTCAAAATAAAACTCCGCAGAACCAAAACGGACCGGACGAAAACTACCAGAAAATAATCAAAACGTGCAGAATAATCACATCTACAACATACCAAAAGTTATGCGGTGAAATCTTTGCCAGTACCAAACCGGGTACGAAAATCACTTACAAAAACACAAATCTGAGCACCATTTCGCAAAATCTCAAAATCTTTGAAAACAGAAGTAGGGTTCGGAATCCTTACAGCGAGATAAACAAAATATCCAACAGCAACAAACGACGAAAATCGCTCCGGGGGCCCCAAAATCGGACTTCTTCCTTTGCTTTTCCGCCCTTTCTCTCTCCTCAAAATATCTGATTTTTATAAATGTTTTTCTCTCTCCTCAAAACGAGCTCATTTTCTTATATCATTAGTGGGATCGGCCCGGCTGATCGCCACATCGTCCCGGGACGATCAGACCAAAATCGATCGTCCTGGACGATTCCCAGAACTATTCTCAGGACGGTATTTTGAACAGTACAGATCGGCCTGGACGATCTCACTATCGTCCCGGCCGATCCTGGGAAAAATTCACTTTTCCCAGCAGCTAAAGCTACAGCAAAGGAACGAGGTCTCACATTGCCACCTCCTGTCCTCCTACCCATTAACAATAAATTCGACCTCCTTTCTGCGCAAGCGGACGAATCCCCTGAGCCTGATCTTCCCAATTCTTCCTTACAAACCAAAACCACCACCAATTCTCCCTTACAGACCAACACCACCACTCCTCCTCAACCTACCTCCTCTTCACCTAATCCCACTGTTTTGCTGGGTGACCAATCTTCACAGATACCTCAAAAGGCTTCCTCTGCCCTTCCTTCTGAAAATAGTCCTACTACCTCCAATTCCAGTTTTAGTACTGGTTCTGTCAAAGAAATCCCGAGCCCAAAGAATACAAGAAGCAAGAATGCCAAAAAGGCTGGCAACTCCAAATCAAAGCATAAATGACTTATCCCCGTATGGCTTCATGGAATATTAGGAGGTTTAACTGTCCCTCTAAAGTTTTGTCGTGCAAGTCTTTGGTATCTAAATTCAATTTAGATATGGTGTTTATTTTGGAAGAGAAGGTTTCTTCTACTTCTGTCTCTGATAATTGGTTTAACTCCTCTCACTCCGTCTTCTCGGTTTAAGGTTCCTATAACAATTTTTCTTATTCCACTCCTGGTCGCATTTGGATTAAGTGGAATGCTCAGAAAGTCACTTTTACTCCTATTTTTACCTCTAGCCAGGTAATTCATGGAGTTGTTAATGATGGTTTTCATGATGTTTGATGTATCTCTGTTATATATGCTTCAAATTCTGTTGAAGAAAGGCAAAAACTTTGGAAGGATGTCTCGAACCTGGTTAACCTTTCTCCTTTGCCCTGGGCTATCTTAGGAGATTTTAATTGTTGCCGTCTGTCTTCTGATAAAGCTGGGGGTCATTCTTTGTCTAACAGTAAGCTCGGAGAACTTAACACCTTCATATTTAATGTTGCTATGTCGGATTTGTCTTCGGTTGGGCACTACTACACTAGGCATAATCAGAGGATTGATAATCCTATACATATTAAGTTGGATAGGGTGTTTGTGAATGACAATTGGATGTCTTCTTTCCCGAATTCTTACTATATTGTTAGTGATCCAGATATTTCTGATCATTGCCCGATCATTCTTAATCTGGACTCTATCACTAACAATAGTAAGCGCTTCATGTTTAAGAACTACTGGAGCAAATTACCTGCGTTTTGGAATGAGGTTCTTAAGGTTTTTTCCCTCCCGACTTCTGGCAGTCTTATTTTTTATCATTATCATAAGCTTAGGGAGCTTAAATTCATTCTTAAGCAAAGAAATTGGAACTCCTCTAATTCTCTTAGAGAGGATTTCCATAATCTCTCTCTAGCTCAAACGGAGGTTTTTTCTAAGCTGCAACAATATCCTTTAAACCACACTCTCAACACAAATCTTAAGTCTATTAATTCTATGCTTTGTGATCTTAAAGCTAGATTACTGGATTGGGCTACTCAAAGAAGCAAGACTAAATGGCTGAAGGCTGGAGAAGATGATTTAAAGTTTTTATATGCAAATATCAATATTAGACATAACTCTAATCAGATTAGAGGTGTGTTGGTGGATGGTACTCTGTATACTTCTCAATCTGATGTCAACTTTGTCTTCATCAATCATTTCCAACGTCTCTTTAATGCAACGCCTCCTTCTGGGTCTAATCCCCCCCCCAACTGGAAATTATCTGCCGGCTGCTTTGCTTAACGATCTGATTGCTCCTTTCTCATCTGATGATATTAAGGATGTTATTTTTTCCTCATCCCCTCATGCAACACCTGGCCCAGACGGAATCACCTTTGAATTTTATAAAGCATCTTGGAACTTATTGGGGAATCAGATCTGTAAGGCGGTACATTCCTTCTTTTCTACTGGTTTTATGCCTAAACAAGCTAAGAATACGGTTATTGCTCTTATTCCAAAGCATCCTCATGCTTCCTCTGTTAATGACTATAGACCAATTTCCTTATGCAATGCTTTCTACAAAATCATAGCCAAACTTGCTTGCTTCTAGGCTGAAAACTATCATGCCATTTATAATTCATCTAGCCCAAGCTGGTTTCATCAAAAGCAGAATTATTACTGATAATATTATTTTGGCTAAGGAAATTCTGGGTCTCTTCAATACCAACTCCAAAGAGAAGTTCTTTTGTTCTAAATTTGACATTAGCAAGGCCTTTTACTCTGTCTCTAGGCAATTTCTCCTTAATCGCATGCTTGCCAAAGGTTTTCCTCCTATCTTTATTTCTTGTATTAAAGCTTGTATCTCTGATATCCATTTCTCGGTTTCTATTAATGGATCTCTTCAAGGGTTTTTCAGCTCCACTTCAGGTCTTCGCTAGGGATGTCCTCTTTCACCTTATCTCTTCACTATTGTCATGGATGGTTTATCTGAATGTTTTGAAGAAGCTAACAACCTAAAGCTTTTCTCTGGCATCCCTTTGGGTAATTTTGCTGCTACCTACCTCTTATATGCTGATGATTTACTTGTCTTCTCCAAAGCTTCTCTGGAAGAGGCCTCTTGTCTGAAAGAAATTCTTGGGAGATTTGCGGCCTCTACTGGTCTCAATATTAACCCTGCCAAAAGCTCAATTCTCTTCTCCAAGAATGGTCAGTTGAGTGAGGCTATTTCTGATCTCCTTAATATTCCTCAAACGGACAGACCATTAAAATACCTGGGGCTCCCTATATTTTTTAAATAGCTGTCCCACACTGATTATCAGCCTCTAATTATGAAGGTTACTAAGGCTTTGGAGGGTTGGAAGGTCAAACTGTTATCTTTTGGGGGAAGAATTCAATTCCTGAGATTTACTATCTTCAACTCTATAGCCTATTGGATCAGGGGTTCTATTATTCCAAAGTTTTGTTTGAAAATCTTAAACAAACTTTGCTCTAGGTTCTTATACGGTAGAGACATTGCAGCCAGGAAACTTCATCTTATTGCCTGGAAGGATACTTGTCTTCCTAAGGACAATGGTGGGCTGGGATTACCTTCTCTTGATTCATTAGCTTTTAATTTCAGCTGCTCCATGATCAGGAGATTTTTAAATGATAAAGGGTTATTGTTTTCTTGCTGGAGAAATCTGTATGTCTCTCTTTGGTCTCCTATTCCAAAAAGATGTTCCCCATATTGGAAACATATTAGCCATATTGCCCTCCAAATTAAACACTGCTTACAGCTCCAAATTCAGCCGAACTGCTTTTTTTCCTTAATCTGGGATCCTTGGTGCTTTGGTAAGTCTCTTATGGATTTAAGAGACACGAATATTGATTACAGTTGGCTGGAGGCTTTAAAATATAATGCTTTATCTACTATTTTATGTAACAGGCAGTGGAATGTTCCGGATGGCTGGCCTGTTAATATTAAGAATTTGATACTTTCTGTGCCCATTTTGGTTACGGAATCCTCTTGTCTTTGGCACAACTCTGGTAAAGTATCAAATAAACATTTTACTAAAGAATTCTTTAGGCAGCATCCGGTGGTGAGTTGGCACCGTTTCATTTGGCACAAGCATTCCTCGATAAGATTCTCATCTTTTGGTTGGCTGGCTATGAAAAATGGGTTAAAAACCTCTAATAACCTAATCTGTCGTGGTCTTCAGGTTAACCTACGCTGCATTTTTTGTCATGACTGTAGAGATACTATCACTCATCTTTTCTTTGAGTGAGATTTCTCTTTTGGTATTTTGAATCTACTCATCCCACAGTCTCAAACTCTTTTACTAAGGCCCAACCTTAATCAAATATTTGATTTTATTGAAGATATTGCTGAGACTAATGATATGTTGCATTTCTATTGCCTGCTGATTAACACCTCCATTTATTACTTATGGAGAGCTCGTAATGATAGAACCTTTGGCAACATCCTGGAATGTCACACTACAGTGGCTATTAAATTAAAAAGGCTTTGATTGTGAAGTTAGAGAATTGGAAAAATGGCTGTAATCTCAAACACCTGTTGGCTTGACTTCTTTGAGATTATTCTCTTTGTTATGGGAACATCTTGCTGGATGATGTTGGCTGGTGTAAGGTTATTTAGCTTCATTACCTCTACTAGCCCGATTCGTTCAACTTCTGCTTTGGATGGGAGTTTGCTGAATGGCTGGATTGCTGGAAAAATTTTTTGGAACGTCTGGGATCTGTTATATTCCTGGCAGGTAGTTATCATAGACAAGTTTTGCAGGACGATGATGACCGCTGCAGCAAAACCCCTTGGAGAGCCATTTATGGCAACCAGGGGTTATTCATTGATTGCCCGATTGACCCAAGAGAATAGCTGCAGTTTTTTTGCCTGAGTCCTGAGCTTTTTGTATACCACATTTTCTTTCTCAATTGGTTGTTATGGGTGGTATAGGTTTTCTCTTACATGTAATTTTCTTCTTTTATCCCCCCAGTTTTATTTTTGGGGTTGGATTTCCTTACTTGTAACCTTTTTATTTTAATAGATGGGCTTAGGCCCCAAATTCTCCCAAAAAAAAAAAAAAGTACATTGCTCTTTTGCATCTAACATGACAGCATCAAAGCAATTGATTTTGTTTATCATAAGCCAAAATAAGAGTAAAACATGAAAAAGCTTGGATATTATGATTAAAATATTATTATGATAAATTAAAATTTTAATGATTAATTTTATGATAATTGCATCTAATATAAATTTGATCAAATTTTAAAAAGGAGCATGTTTAATTTGTAATTATGTAAAAAAAGTGTAATTATTAAATAATTTAAAAAAAGAACTAAAAAGCCCAAATAATTTGACTTTTTTATAGAAAATATAATTAATTAAGAATACGCTAAATTATTTGTTGTTCTCTCTCTCACCCGGCTCTCTCTCTCTCTTCATGTATCTCGCTCTCTCTCTCCAATTCGGCTCTCTTTCTCTCTTCAGCAAAGTGAGAGAAAAACGCATAAATTTTAGATGTTTTTAAAGAAAATGTCAAAATATGTGATGTTTTTTTATAAAAAACATCAAAATATGTGTCATTTTATGTCGAGAGAACGTCAAGTAATTTGGCATATTTTTTAATTAATTATATTTTCTATAGGAAATGTTAAATTATTTGACATTTTTGCTCCTTCATAAATTTCTTAATAGTCATATTTCTTTTGCTTATTTAGTATTAAACACGCTCCTTTTTAAAATTCAACCTAGAAAGAGTTTTTTTCCAATGACTTTTATAGAAAATCGAATGCTAAATAAAATTAGATATTAGTGGATGAATAATTTTGTAATCATTTATATTAAGAAAATAATATTTGATACGTGTTCAACTCTTTATGAATATACATTATAAACTTTAAAACTATTATTATTTTCTATTTAATTTTTTTAAAATAAGAAATTTATTTAAAAAGAATTTGAAAAGCTGCTAATACCAGTCCCATCAATAAAAAAAACATTTAAAATTTTTTAAAAATTTAATTTATATTCTGACTAAAAAAATTATGTTGCTCCACCACTAACTCTAAACATTAATAGGCACAAAAGCGACAGCTTAAATAAACACGTAGATTGTCAGCCAAAATACGCTACGTACAACCAGAAAGAAGATCCGTCTATTACAAAATTTACATTATTCGCACATATATCACGTTTCCGACCACGTCGCTTTATTCAATTACCATTCCAAACTCCCCCACGCCAGCTCTTCTACCCCTCTCGCTAACTTCCTCTCTACTTTCGATATATTTATAAAATGCCAACGACGAAGCCTTCGTCTTCCTTAAATCCTTCTCTCTTCTTCATCACGTAATCCAATCCTTCCTCTATGGATTGCCACACCGACTGGCCCGAGCCAATCGTTCGAGTCCAATCCGTTTCTGAGAGCGGCGCCGGACTCATCCCTGCCAGATACATAAAGCCTCAAGCTGAGCGCCCCTGCTCCGGCCAGCCCGAACCTGACACCAACCTCGAGCCTATTCCGGTCGTCGACCTCGCGGGCGACGTGACTTCAGCGCTCTCCAACGCGTGTAGGGATTGGGGCTTCTTCCAAGCGGTGAACCACGGCGTCAGCCCGGAGCTAATGCGCCGCGCACGCGAGTTATGGCGCGAGTTCTTCCATCTCCCTATGGAGGCAAAGCAGGCTTATGCTAACTCTCCGACGACATACGAGGGCTACGGTAGCCGGCTGGGGATCGAGAAAGGCGCTATACTTGACTGGGGCGACTACTATTTCCTCCATTTCTTCCCATTGTGCCTTAAAAGCCATGACAAGTGGCCCGCTCTCCCCGTTGCACTGAGGCATGCAATTTCAATTTTTTTTTTTTTTGGTTTTATTTTGAGATTAATACATTATAAGTTACTAATCTCAAAATTAATTCTCATAAAAATTGTACCCAGAATATCTAAAAATAATATATTTTTTTGTTTTATAACTATTTTTGTCATATATATTTTTTATTTCATATGTCAACTAGCATGCATACTTTAATACAATTAAACTATCAAATAAATAAGATTAAATTATTACGCATACGCAAATATAATAATAATAAAAAAACATGTAAGGAATTAACTTGCCACAAAAAAAAGAAAAAATTCAAATGAATTAACATGCCTCATGAATAAATAATTGACTTCTTTAATAAATTCATCTATTAGACTTTTTTTTTTTCATATAAAAATCTACTTCAGACTTAATTATGAAAATCTAATAATTCAGAACTATTATCTTATAGTTTAGTTATAGTCATATCATGATTCATGTCATGATTATTCGATAAGAATGGCATTGAATGTCGACTACCTAATGCAACCTTTTATTTTTCTCATTGGGGATTTGGTATCGAACAATAATAGTTATAGACATTGCATGATAAAATATTATGTATACATAATTTATTATTTCTAAATTCTGCTTATTTATAATATCTTTGTGTAATATTTTTGTCCAATTTGATTTTAATGTAGATAACTGATGAAAGATCATTATTTGCGAAATCATGACAGGGAAACGGTGGAGGAATACGGGATTGAATTGGTGAAGCTGTGTAAGAGAGTGTTGGGGCTGTTATCGGCGGGGCTTGGACTGGAGGTAGAGAGGATGCAGAGGAGCTTCGGCGGCGAGGAAGCTGGCGTGTGTATGAGAGTGAATTACTATCCCAAGTGCCCGCAACCGGATCTTACTCTCGGCCTTTCGTCCCACTCGGATCCCGGCGGGATAACGGTTCTTTTACCGGACAATGAGGTGCGGGGGCTGCAGGTGAGGCGCGGGACTGGCTGGGTTACTGTGCAGCCACTCGCCGACGCCTTCATCATTAACGTCGGCGATCAGGTCCAGGTATATATCCGTTAAACTCCATTAATTTTGATATTATTTTCTTTTAATTTTAATGTCCTACTTGTCGTTGCCGTGTATCTCGTTGGGTGTAGAAGTTAACTGTGACTTGTGGGGCTTCAAACGTCTCATATAAGTACAATTGATATCGATTAGGAGGGGCTAAGTTCATTATTTAAAAGCAATGATAGTCTTTTATGTCTGAAGCTTCCTCCATTCACACCTTATTAGTATTGAGGAATTACACGCTAATTCATTTGGGAGTCGGGGGGGTTAAGTCAGAGAGTGAGATCCGTCGAGAAGTTCTATTGTCTTTTCATAATTCATTGAATGTGAAGGGAATGTTAGGTTTTCATTCATGTTTTAGTTATTTAAAAGATTAAGGCTTGGTTTGGCTCTTCCTCTTATTTTATAAAAAATAGTTTTAAAAATAATGTTTAAGAGAATGAAATTTTTTAACGGAGATACAAATATCAAAAAGCTAGCTTCTCAAACAATAGAAAAATGAACCTAAAAAGCATTTCTATAAAAATATTTCATTCACACGACGACCTAAAAATAATTTATTTGTTTCTAAATAGAAAAGGAAAAAAATTGCCAAAACAAACTAGGTCTAAGATTGGATTAAAAATTATAAAATGAATAAATGTCTAATCAATTTTATTAATAAAAATATGATAGAAGCCTAATAATTAAATGATGATATATATTGTTGACTAGTAAGTCAAAATAAAGTCATGTAAAAATATTTTAGTTTCTGTATTACAATTAATATATAAACTAGTTTAGAGAGGGAGAGAGAGAGATTATGCATGTGTAAGATTATAAACTCCAATGAAGTTGTTTTGTGGTTATAATGTTGTGTATTCAATAAAAATGATATTAGCATTTTCAAGTAAGGTAGTAAGTGAGCTTTATAAACGGCTTGTGAGTTGGGTCAAATTCAATATATTAACAAGCTCAAGAGGAGAGCTTATGGAGCCACATATTTGAGCTTGAGCCTATATTTATACTAAGTCTAGCTCAGCTCTTAAGCTTGTCGGGCTACTCATTAAAATTAAATTTTATTTCAAAACTATTTTTAGAATAATATAATAAATAAATACTATATATTTTTAATTATTTCTTTAGTCAATCTCTAGCTTTCTAAATAAACTCAAATAATTGAGTCGAGCTCGATCAAGCTTAATAATTTTCAAACAAATCAAATTCGAACTCAACAACTGAGATTTAGTAAATGTTGAGCTTACTTAGAATTAAATAAGCTTAGTTTGATTTGACAAAAACTCGACTTGTTAACCCCCCTAATTTCAAGCATATGAAACAAAAAAAAATACATCATGAAAAATATTATATGTTGTAAAAAATGTATAATAGAATGTTATTATCACATATTTTTCGTTTAAATTTTTATTGCATTAGCACCAATAAACAATATTTTTAGTGAAATAATAATATTGAATTCAGGGTATTTACTTAGATATTATTTTACTTGAAATAATATATTGCTATCCAGTTAAGCATACTTTCGATTTTTTTTTATAATCAATTAGTTTAATAATCGCATAATTTAGGATTTAGAGGTCGGCTAAACATTTTTTTATAACTAATCAAAAACAAGAATTAAATAATTTTATTTCATTTTTATCATCAAATAATTTTTAACGATTATTTGTGGAGATATTTATTATTTTTCTTAAAAAGCAGACAATAAACGCTTTACTGTAACAATTCCTATCAAATATCTAACACCTCGTTTCTCACGTGCTCAATTTGGTTTGTTTCCTACTTCAGACCCTCCTTCCAGGAAATTACACCACAATTCCTTTTCACATTTCTCCAAGCTCATTATACTTTTAATTGCAATTCTATCATTTTTAGGAGTAAACAAGTCAAGTTAAGCTTGAGCCTCTCATAACTTGAGCTTGATTATATAATAGCATGATAATTTATATTTAGCATTATTTCAAATATAATAATTAAAATTTATATATTTATAAAATTAACATTCAATTATTTATATTTTCAACAAAATTAATCCAAAACTCAAAGGTTGTGACAAAATTCAAACACTTTTTCCTTTTTTTTTCATTAAACTCTATATAATTTAAGGTTAGCACATAAATACATTTTCTTTTCATTTTTATGAATATTCAATATATAATTATTCATAATTTGAATAATATGGAAGTAATTAAGTAAATATCTTTTATTTTTCAGCAGTATTAGCCAACAAACCTTTCGGGGTTGTTGAATGGAAAATTTAAATATTAATATGATAAATGAATACTCATTGTGATAAGTTACAGGTTTTGAGCAATGCTACATATCGAAGCGTGGAGCATCGAGTGGTGGTGAACTCCAAGATAGAGCGATTGTCAATAGCTTTCTTCTACAACCCACGTAGTGATCTACTTGTGGGGCCTATGCCAGAGCTATTGAGCTCAAATAGTCCTGCTTTGTATCAACCCATGACCTTCGATGAGTATCGATTGTACATTCGAAAACGTGGCCCGCGTGGCAAGTCCCAAGTTGAGTCTTTAAAAGCTATTTGATCTATCTCCATAGTTGTGATCAAAATGGTCATACATTTTTTTTTTATTGTGATTCTAGAAGGCTTAGCTTTTGGTAAATTCTTGAAAATGATGAAATTGACCTATGTGCATTGAAAATATATATTAAGAGAAATGGAAAATAAGAAAAAAAAATCTAAGGTGATTTTGTAGAGATTGATTTTTTTCCCTTAGTTCATGCACATCATTAGCTGTTTTCACTTAATGAAAGGCAAAGGCCCACAAAGAAAGAAGGTAAGTTAATTTATATTTCTTTTTAGTTAATCAACATCATTGTTTAATTAGATTGTGTTAAGAATAAAATCAGTGGCTTAATTTTCTTCTACAGAGATATTAATATCTTAGAATAACTACTATTTGTTCTCATTTGGAGCTCTCAAAGTTGTTTGCTTTGTTTGACAAATTTTTTATATAGATTATTACTTATCTGTAAATAATTTTTTTATACTATTAAGTGATATGCCTCATGACATTCATGTATAAAAAACTGACAGTAAAAATGCATTTTAATGTTCAACAATGTGGTTGGGAGTTTGACACATTCCCAACCAACCAGGGTTCTAGTCCCTTAGCAGGTGGGCTCAGGTGTGGGCCACGTGGATGGTCAGGCAGGCTCTCGGGCGACCGCGACTAGGCGGGCTGCGGGCGTGAGCAGACCACGGTGGCGGGCGTGGTCGGGCGGGCTGAGGGGTGGGCGCAGGCAGCAGGTGGTCTGCACTCTGCAGCCCTTGTCGTAGGCAGGAGGGCTGGAATTTTTTTTTTTAATTTTCCGGCAGCTTATTTTTGCCTGAAAGATGACAGAATTATTTTTCTCCCGAAAAAGCTGTCGAAAATATTTTTCTTACGTGGGTTTTACCGGCTAAAAAATTTTTGCCTGTAAATTAGAAAACTACCGAAAAATTCCACCGGTAATAGATGATCTTCATGTAGTGAGCATATACAAATTTATATATAAGAGAAAAGATTGGAGAATAAAAAAAAAGGTCTAAACTATGAGATGATATATTGAAAATTAATAAAGATGGTAATCATATATATACATTTGATTGGGTTTATAGGATAATATATACTTCGCGCTACAAACTTATGAAGGAAAAAATATGTTAATTTAAATGGGATATATGATTCTAAAAATTATCTAGCTTATAAGATTTGGTGATACTGCGAGCGGGGTTAAGAATGCAAAGGGTACGATCGCACTATCCCATAGGACAAAACAATCGTATGCCTTTATGCTCTATGAAAATAGGCCAATGGGAGTGCAGATGAGATCATACATATAATTAACTAAGGAGGATAATCACTTTCACCTACACACCTCGATGGATAATAATATATATGAACAAATGATCATGAGATTTCTCTCGTCCTACTTATCTTCTTGAATTGGGTTTATTTGATGTGGGTGCATGTTTCCCATGGGCGCAAGCCTCGTGGTTAATTGTATCTTAGGCCTTGACCTAAGAATACTCTTCATTAAGGATGCTATATTATTCTATTCAGGGTTTAGCGCATAAGGAAATATCTAGGCTCTCCTAATCCAAAGAAAGATAGGCTCAATTAGGCTATTCTACATGCACGGATCACACAAGCACTCAGCTAGTCCAATGAGAAGAAATCAAAAGAGGAGTCGTATCATACCAAACATGCATGAGAGAAAGATGGAAGATGCATCATCAGTGTGATGTGGATGGGTGAGATTTATATGTTGAAACTTTATTAATTATGAATTAGGTTGTTAGACCTAAGCTTATGTCCTAGTAGCTAACCAAGAGGGGGGGGGGGTAAATTGGTAATTTAAAAATTTCCTCTTTATTTTTAAACCAATAAAAAATTAAAGTGAAATTTTGAAAAAGATTTTTCAACCAGAGATCAATAGAAACAACAAAGTAAAAAACAGCGAAAAAATAAAAGACACAAGATTTATAGTGGTTTGGTCAAACACGACCTTGATCCACTCCCTGAAGTCTCCCACTTCAGGTATTGCACTATTACCATTTAGTGTCTCTCCTTTTGCCCCATAGTAAGACAGAGATGCCTTTATAAAAACTCTTTTCCACCACTACCCGATGTGGTTAGGGGTGTCAATTTTTGACACGACACGAAACACGACCCGAACCCGACCCGGAAAAATCTGGGTTCGGGTCAACCCAAACCCGAAACGGGTCGGGTTCGGGTTCATGAAATCAACCCGTTTTAAAAATCGGGTCGGGTTCGGGTTGACACGGAAACACGAAATTGACCCGAAAGTGACACGAATAAACTTCAAAAACAAAGAAATTAAAATTTTATTTCATTTTTATCATCAAATAATTTTTTAACATTATTTGTGGAGATATTTTATTTTCTTAAAAAGCAGACAATAAACGCTTTACTGTAACAATTCCTATCAAATATCTAACACCTCGTTTCTCACGTGCTCAATTTAGTTTTGTTCCTACTTCAGGCCTCCTTCCAGGAAATTACAACACAATTCCTTTTCACATTTCTCCAAGCTCATTATACTTTTAATTGCAATTCTATCATTTTTAGGAAGTAAACAAGTCAAGTTAAGCTTGAGCCTCTTCATAACTTGAGCTTGATTAATATAATAGCATGATAATTTTATTTGTATTATTTCAAATATAAAATTAAATTTTATATATTTATAAAATTAACTTCAATTATTTAATATTTCAACAAAATTAATCCAAAATTCAAAGGTTGTGACAAAATTCAAACACTTTTTCTTTTTTTTTTTCATTAAACTCTATATAATTTAAGGTTAGCACATAAATACATTTTCTTTTCATTTTTATGAATATTCAATATATAATTATTCATAATTTGAATAATATGGAAGTAATTAAGTAAATATCTTTTATTTTTAGCAGTATTAGCCAACAAACCTTTCGGGGTTGTTAATGAA